CTCTATTAGATGAAGTATGAAAATGGATAATTTCGGTCCGCTATACCGCTGTTACCTCAATCACATTTCCACTATAGGAAGCAGTCGATATAGTCCAAATCTGGCACGTTGTAATATTTATAGCAGTCTTAGGTCAGATATTGGCCATGCAAGACATTTCAAAACTTTTCCTACATGTTGGATAATTCTCCAAACCTTTGTTCCTTAAGATAATTTTTGTTAATATATAAAATTAATTAATTACAATCACCAAGTGTAGCGCACGCTCTGCACAGCAGGTGTACATCGGTGGAATTAACTTTTAATGACGTTTGCGGTAAAACATTTAATGGTTAATAAAAAAATAGTAAAAAAATATAAGCAAATGTTAAGTGCAATTCAGCCGGCAATCGAACATACTTCCACACACACACGCTCGCACACATACATACATTTAAATTATTCCATTGTTTAATTTTTGTGTTTTTCGATCATGATCATCATGGATGGAGTACTGGCAATTCATTGGGCGTGAAATATGCTGTATGCGGCTTGTTTTCAATTCGCGAAGGCACACATAGAAGTCTATGTCGATATTTGAGTAAAAAGTGCTTTTAAGGAAATCCTTACAAACAATTTGCAATCAATACAAAAAACTGAACTACAAATTAGTTCAATTTCCGATTTCCGTCCATGTTTTTTTTCCTATAGGAAATTGATATTTAAATGAAGGAAATGTTATACTTTTATATATTAAATGGTTTTTTGTTAAAAATTAAATCTTCCTTACTGCGAGACAGACATATGAGAACATTTAAGTTTGGTCTTCTGATACAACCCAAATTGAATTTTTTATACCCTCCATCATACTATAGAGGGTATATTAAGTTTGTCATTCAGTTTGTAACACCTCGAAATATACATTTTAGACCCCACAAAGTGTATATATTTTTGATCAGAATAAAATTCTATGTCGATTTAGCTTCCGAACGAAATGAAGTAGGTTGATAAAATTTTACATAAATGTGTATTATATCTGCAGGACTTTTGGTGTTGAAAATGGGCCATGTAGGTCCACGTCTTCGTATAGCCACGACTTATAACAGTACCTCCCGATATTCGGTATTTTGATGATTTTAGCGACATTATATACCGAAATTGTTTCAAATTTGGTATTTGAAGTTCGCAATGGATACTACATCCTAAGACAGAAAATAAACCATGTAGGTCCACGTCTTCGTATAGCCTCCATATAACGGTACCTCCCGATATTGCATATTTTAATGATTTTAGAGACATTTTTACCGGAACTATTTCAAATTTAGTATTTGAAGTTCGTAACAGACATGTCTTCCTATAGCCAGGACATATCACAGTACTTCCCGATATTCGGTATTTTAATGATTTTAGCGACATTATTTACCGGAACTATTTCAAATTTGGTATTTGAAGTTCGTAATGAATACTACAGCCTATGACAGAAAATTGTCTGTGCAGGTCCATGTTTTATAACCCCCATGGTACCTCCTTATATTTTGATGATTTTAGCTACATTATAAAGAGATTTTTTTCAATTTTCGCATTTGAATATTGTAACAGCTTGTGACAAAAGTTGCCTATGTATGTCCACGTCGTCGTATAGACCCTAAAATACGGCTACATTCGGTATTTTTAAAATTTCAACAAAAACTTTAACTGATTTTATTTATTTTTTTTTTTTGAAAATTTCCAAATTTGTACCAAATGGTGGAGGGTATTCAAAGTACGGCCCAGCCGAACTTACAGCTTTTTTAATTGTTGTTATTTATAATAGAACTAGAAAAAGCACCCCTTCTTTGGAGCTGACCACTATAATATTCGGTGAAGTTCCTGTAGACCTAAATTCTTTTTGAGTATCCCTCAAGATATTGAAACACATAACACTGTGCGACAAAATGTATTTTTATACCCTCCACCATAGAATGTGGGTATATTGTCATTCCGTTTGAAACACCTTGAAATATACATTCTAGACCCCGCAAAGTATATACAGGGTGAGATGAAAAAACGTCAACCAAGTTCAGACTGCTGTCATTTCTAAGCCACTCGTCCGACAGCTGTTAACATTATTGAAGTGACAGCTCATTATATTGTTTACAAGCGTACAAAAGCATTTTGATGAGAATTTTCCAGAAAAAAAGGTATTCGTGATGGAATTCAAGCGTGATGGTGTGATTTCTTTATATATGGCTGTAAAATCACAAGTGTCGTTAGAGCACTGCAGCATTTAAATGTGAGTAAATCTTTTGTGTCTCGTACCATCACTCGATACCGTGATACTGGTAGCGTAGCCCGACGTCAAGGAGGTGGGCGGAAGAAAACAGCAACATCAGCAGAAATGGTTCGAAAAGTATAGAAGCGACTTGATCGAAACCCGATTCGCAGTGGCCGAAAAATGGCTCCTGAGCTGAACATATTGCAATATTCCATTCAGCAAATATTGGAAAATAAGCTCGGGTAAAGCCGTTGAAATTCCAAAAAGTGTATGAACTTACACTGCAACAGAAAGAAAATAGACTCAAGAGAGTTGCTTCGCTTGGCCGAAACTGGTGAACTGCCGAATTTGGTTTTCTCCGATGAGAAAACACTCGTTGTCCAGCAGTCTGTAAACAAACAAATGTTTACTTGCCAAAGTGGTCAGCTGAAAATGTGCATTTTCGGTTGGCCACCAGGGGCTCAAGCGCCGGCCATGGTGATGGTGTGGGCCGCCATAACAGCCGTTGGTTGCTCTCCGCTTGTATTATTCGACCGTGGCACCAGAATAAATGCCGAATATTATCGCGAAAATATTCTGGAGGATGTATTAAAGCCTTGTGCACGCAAACATTTTGGCTGCAAACCTTGGGCATTCCAATAGGACTCAGCACCATCGCAATCAGCACGCACCGCCCAAGAATGATTACCAAATGAGGTTCCTCGCTTCATTTCCAGATCACACTGATCACTAAAATCTCCGGATACCAATCCGTAGGACTATTGTGTCTGGAGTATTTTGGAAAGCAAGGTTGGAACTAAAAAAATACCGAAGTCTCGATCACCTCAAGCGAGCGCTTTGCCGAGAATGGGCGAAATGGCCGTTTGAAGACCATAATTCGTGCCAAAGGTGACCTATTCGTACAAATCTAAACTTATTCTAAAATTTGATGCTATTTCCGACATTTTTTGCTTTCATTCAATAAAATTGAAAAAAAAAATATTTTTTTTTTAAATTATGGCGTTTGCAGTTTTTTATCTCACCCTGTATTATAGGTCTATAGATTTTTATGCCCTACACCACATAGTGGTAAGGGTATTAAATCTTTGTGCATTTGTTTGTAACATGGAGAAGGAAGGATGGAGATAGACCCATAGTTCCTTTTGATCAGCATAGAATAACATTTTGAGTCAATTTATGCATATCCGTGAGTCTGTCCGTCCGTCCGCCTGTCCATGTATTTTTGTAAGAAAATTTATTATTCAATTGAGATTTTTCTAAATTGAATTTGTTGGAAATCGGTCCAAATTTAGTAATAGCTCCCATACATATCTTCATCTGGCTAATATTAGTCCAAATGGTGTGAATGTTACTACATCCGAACGAATTCAGCATACAAGCCTGTGCTTCAAATATATATATATATATATACATATATATATATATATATATATATATATATATATATATATATATATATATATATATATATATATATATATATATATATATATATATATATATATATATATGTATATATATATTCCAATCGATTTTGGTGTTTAGGTCCTTACATTCGTTTTATGCACCTCACAAGACTGATATTTAGCACAAGATATCAGATACAGCCTAGCAATTCATAGATCAAATTTTATTTGGATCGGTTCAGATTTGAATATAGCTCCCATATATATCTTCATCCGATTTTAGGTTTCTTGTGCACCAAATGGCTAATATCAGTCCAAATGGTGTTAATGGTGTTTGGCACTTCCGACCGAATTTAGTATAGAAATAAGTACTTTCAATTTGGTGGAAATCGCATTAGATATAGCTATAGCTCCCATATATATGTTTCATTCGATTTTGGTGATCCACAAGACTGATATTTAGCACAAGATATCAGGTTCAGCCCAGCAATACATGATTCAAATTTTATCAAGTTCGGTTCAGATTTGGATACAACTCCCCTATATATCTTCGTCCGATTTTAGGTTTCTTGTGCAACAAAAAAAAAAAAAAAACGCTGCAGATATAGCTATAGCTCCATATATATGTTCCATCCGATTTGGTGTTTAGATCTCCAACTTTCGGAATATGTACTCTACCATAGTCATATTTTGTACCAGATATCTCATAGAGCACATAAATGCCCAATAAAAACCATTCTTTTACCAAAGCTCTACTAAATATGCATAGTGATGTAGGGTATCATATAGTCGGCCCCGCCCGACTTTTGAGCTTTTCTTACTGGTTTCTATTGGTAATGGGCCATATATAGCTATAGCCTGATTAAAATAATTTTTGTGGTTTAAGCTATTTGGTATTTTTTTATGATTTTAGCTTTGATATATAATATGGGATGAAAGTTTATTAATATGTGAAATGGTATGTCTCTAGAACAATGAATTTTGGCACTTCTAAAACCTTTTCAAAATTCTTACTTTCCCAATTGTGGGTGGTATTAACTTAAGTGCTTTCTTAATTATTGTGAAGAACCGTAAACTTAGTTAAATTTTCCACCCAAAAGCTTAAATTTAAATTTTTCACAATTTGAGCATGTACGTGGCGCCCAACCGAATATAGATAGCCCTCTTTTCCACTTTTCAATTAAAAATCCAAATTTCTTCGGTTTATTATAAAATTTTGCAAAAAAAATATATGATAGTCTTACTATCAATTTCCAACCCCCTAAAGTTATAATTTCAGTTTTCCACAATTTAAGCATTTACGTGGTGCCCAACCGAAAGTAGTTCTCCCTCGATGCCATTTTTGAAGTAAAAACACACTCTTCTTCGGTTTATTATAAAATTTTGCAACAAAATAATTCTTTTATTTATATAAAAAAAGTCATTCATACAAAGTACTCGACTAAGTATAGGGTTCAGATCCATTTCTCAATATATATAAAAAAAACATGTATAACACAAACTGGGTTCTCTATATAAATAGTTAGATAAGCAGATAGGTAGATAGATAGAGGTGTGCATAACTCGGGCATACATACATAAAAAATTACACATACATATAACTTGTTTTAATTTGGGATTGGTTGGTTGGGGTTTTCAGGATTGGGGCAAAAGGATTCTGGAATTCGGGACATAGGGTAATAAAAACTCGTAAAAATAAATTTATTATATTATTATTTTTTTTTTCTGTTAAATGCATTAAAAAATCTGCATTCGCATACAACGCGGCGTTTCACTTCGCCAACTTTCGTATTCATTTGCGCCTTTTGCATAAGAACTGACTAGATTCTAGACACATCTAGCCCTAGACAACTACTTAAACGACAATGGTATCAAATGTTTATTTTTTTTTTTGTTTTTGTAAAAAAAATTATTAATTAAAATTAATAAACTTTGCTAATTAAGACAAATAAAAGGGCAGTGATGGTTGTTGGTTTCTTAGTTTACGAATTATCACCTGACACGGGGTCAATCGATGACCTTTTATGGTTTTAGAAGTCAAAGGGTATTCCAGGTTTGGGATAATCGTAGCCTTTGAATGGTGTTGTTGGTGGTTTGGTTGGGGGTTTGGTTGGAGGTTTGGTGGGAGGTTTGGTTGGAGGTTTGGTGGGAGGTTGGGTTGGAGGTTTGGTGGGAGGTTTGGTTGGTGGTTTGGTTGGAGGTTTGGTGGGAGGTTTGGTTGGAGGTTTGGTGGGAGGTTTGGTTGTGGCTGGTGAAGGAGGTCTGTTAGTGGGTGGCGGCGTGGTGGTTGCTGGCGGCAAATATGTGGTTGGCGGCTTGGTCACACGTGGAGTAGTGCGTGGTGTAGGAGGTTTAGTGGCACGGGTAGTTACGGGCGGAAGGTATGTTGATCCAGGTGTGGAGGGAGTTACCCGTGTTGTCTTGGGTGTTGGAGGTTTGGTTGGTGGTTTGGTTGGAGGTTTGGTTGGAGGTTTGGTGGGAGGTTTGGTGGGAGGTTTGGTTGGTGGTTTAGTTGGAGGTTTGGTTGTGGCTGGTGGAGGAGGTCTGTTTGTGGGTGGCGGCGTTGAGGTTGCTGGCGGCAAATATGTGGTTGGCGGCTTGGTCACACGTGGAGTAGTGCGTGGTGTAGGAGGTCTAGTGGCACGGGTAGTTTCGGGAGGAAGGTATGTTGAACCAGGTGTGGAGGGAGTTGCCCGTGTTGTCTTGGGTGTTGGAGGTTTGGTTGGTGGTTTGGTTGGAGGTTTGGTTGGTGGTTTAGTTGGAGGTTTAGTTGGAGGTTTAGTTGGAGGTTTGGTTGTGGCTGGTGGAGGAGGTCTGTTTGTGGGTGGCGGCGTGGAGCTTGCTGGCGGCAAATATGTGGTTGGGGGCCTGGTCACACGTGGAGTAGTGCGTGGTGTAGGAGGTCTAGTGGCACGGGTAGTTTCGGGAGGAAGGTAAGTTATTCCAGGTGTGGAGGGAGTTGCCCTTGGTGTTGTCTTGGGTGTTTGAGTTGGGGGTTTTGTGGGAGGTTTAGTAGGAGGTTTGGTTGGTGGTTTGGTTGGAGGTTTGGTTGGAGGTTTGGTTGGTGGCTTGGTTGGTGGCTTGGTTGGAGGCTTGGTTGGAGGCTTGGTTGTGGTCACAGGTGGTAGATAAGTTGTTGGTGGCCTTGTTACACGGGGAGTGGTTTTTGGTGTTGGTGGCTTGGTGGGACGTGTAGTTGCAGGAGGTGGAGGTCTGACAGTGGTACGAGGTGTTTCTGGTGGCAAGTAAGTTGGTCCGGGTGTACTGCCCTTGGTTGTTGTTATCCTGGGTGTTGGACGTGTTGTTGGCTTGGTTGTGGTGGCACGAGTTGTAGCTGGTGGGGGTGGTCTATTGGTGGGTGGTGGTGTTGTCACCGGACGCTTGGTTGTGGTCACAGGTGGCAGATATGTGGTTGGTGGCCTGGTGACACGTTCAGTGGTACGGGGTGTTGGTGGCTTAGTGGCACGAGGGGTGGTGGTAGGTTTTGGTTTGGGTGTGGTTGTTTCCGGAGGAAGGTAAGTTGAACCGGGAGTTGGGGGGGTTGCACGTGTTGTCTTGGGTGTTGGAGGTTTGGTTGGTGGTTTAGTTGGAGGTTTGGTTGGAGGTTTGGTTGGAGGTTTGGTTGGAGGTTTGGTTGGTGGTTTAGTTGGAGGTTTGGTTGGAGGTTTGGTTGGCGGCTTGGTTGCTGGGGGTTTGGTAGTGGTAACGGGTGGCAAGTATGTTGGTGGTGGCCTAGTCACACGAGGAGTAGTTTTTGCAGTTGGTGGCTTGGTAGCCCGTGTAGTAGTAGCAGGCTTAGGTGTTGTTGACTTGGGTGTTGGTGGTTTAGTTGGTGGCTTGGTAGGTGGTTTGGTTGGTGGCTTGGTTGTGGCGGGAGGTAGATAAGTTGTTGGTGGCCTTGTTACACGGGGAGTTGTTTTTGGTGTTGGTGGCTTGGTGGGACGTGTAGTTGCGGGAGGTGGAGGTCTGACAGTGGTACCAGGTGTTTCTGGTGGCAAGTAAGTTGGTCCGGGTGTACTGCCCTTGGTTGTTGTTATCCTGGGTGTTGGACGTGTTGTTGGCTTGGTTGTGGTGGCACGAGTTGTAGCTGGTGGGGGTGGTCTATTGGTGGGTGGTGGTGTTGTCACCGGACGCTTGGTTGTGGTCACAGGTGGCAGATATGTTGTTGGTGGCCTGGTGACACGTTCAGTGGTCCTGGGTGTTGGGGGTTTGGTTGCCTTGGTTGTTGTCACCGGACGCTTGGTTGTGGTCACAGGTGGCAGATATGTTGTTGGTGGCCTGGTGACACGTTCAGTGGTCCTGGGTGTTGGGGGTTTGGTTGCCTTGGTTGTTGTCTTTGGTGTTGTGGCACGCGTGGTCTTTGGTGTAGTCGTTACGGGTGGCAAATATGTTGATCCGGGTGTGGAAACTGTGGTACGTTGTGTTGTCTTGGCTGTGGTTGAAATTGGGGGACGAGTGACTGGAGGTTTAGTGACTGGAGGTTTAGTGACTGGAGGTTTAGTGACTGGAGGTTTAGTCACTGGAGGACGGGTAACGGGAGGAGGTGGCCTGGTTGTTGGTTTGGGTGGTGTTGTTTTGGGTGTGGTAAACGGCAGGGGGGTGGTGGGTGGCAAATACGTGGAACCTGGTGTACTTGGGGTACGTTTTGTTGTTACCGGTGGACGGGTAGTACGCGGTGGAACTGGGGTAGTTACCACAACTGGTTTGGTGGGTGGCTTGGTGGTTGTCTTCACTGTTGTGACCCGGGTTGTTGTGGGTGGCAAGTACGTTGGTGGTGGTTGTGTGGCCTTAGTTGTTGTTGTTTTGGGGGTGGCCCTTGTTGTTACCACAGGTGTTGGCTTGGTCGTTGGTTTCGTTGTAGCCCGAGTTGTTGCTGGTGTTGGTGGCCTATTGGTGGGTGGTGGTGTTGTAACCGGTGGTGGATACGTAAAAGGATTAGGGGGTGGTGGATAATCGTAGCCATTGAAGGTTTCGCGTACATTTCTCTAAATAATGGGGAAATTATTGTTACGAAAAATAGAAAGAAAGAAGATGGAAAATAATTAGCATTTCGAAAAAATGTTAAGTGGACAAGTTTACTACCCATCCAGGGCTAAAAATTTATGCAAAAAAAACATACCACATAGCTATCATCGCTTTCGGCATAAATGCCAATGGCGCATAACGCCAATAAAATTATTGCACTCCTCTGAAAAGAAAATTTGAAAAAAAAGAAGACAAAATTAAAAGCCGTTTGATGTCAAGTTTAAACCGGTGCTTCGAATTCTATACTGAACAATAAATGCAAAAATTATACAAATAAATTTTAATGAGTCTAATTCGGTTATGATTGTGACAAGTGATAAGATGGCTTTGTATATAAATGTCATAATGCTGCATATTTTTCGAAGGGGGTTTTATTTAAAAAAAAAAATAACAACAACAAAAAAATTACGGAAGTTAAAAATAACTTGAGACAAAAAAATAAATAAATACCAGTTAAGCTATTAGCAACGATGATAATTCTAGACTTCAAATGACATTTTCAAAAAAAAAAAATCACACTCAAATGTCCTTTAAAAAAATAACGAATACAAACGAAAGCTTGACAATGTCGAATTAGAGGCCAAAAAAGTGATTTTTAAACAATAACCATTCGCAAGATGTAGGGGGTTTATCGTGAAATACTGCCATGGCAATGTGGACAGCATCTGATCTTTTTTTGGTTTTTTGCTGCCTTTTCAGTGACCTAAGCCGCCTAGCGGGTTACTGCTACTTTTCGGTTGTCGTTTTTTTGTTGTTGTTTCTTTTCTCGCTCTGATCGTCTTTTGATAATAATTACGTTGATTTTTACCTTGGCTATTAATCAAATGGCTCTATGATGAGCTCTGACCAGTTTGCAGTTGTTGTTGTTTCTATTATCAAAAGGCTAACAACAACACATTGGCTTGTGTCTGCTACCATTGTATTTTACGTATTATTATTTTTTCTACTTTGATTTCGAGTTTTTCTTAATTCGCTAAATACAATAAATGATGATGATTGTTTTTTCCAAAATTTTAGATATATTATTAATTATGTCATTATAATTAGTTCAAGGACGAATGTCAGCTTAAACTGATTACAAAGAATTTAAATGAAAAAAAAAAAAAACTACCAATCATGGGGCCCAATTTGATTGGCCGGTGTCAGGTTTTCAAATAAGCTTTTGATTTATTTTAATTAAGGCTTAGGCTTGAAAGGCGGAAATGGGATTAGTGTAAGAATTGGGAATTATCATTTTTTTATTAAAATAAAGTGAGTCTAAGTCTTTGTTAGAAAGCAGAAGAAGATAAAACAAGCGTTATAATCGATATCGTCTACCAAATTTCGGAAAAGACGTTTTCAGTTAAAACAAGTAACAAAACAGCTAAGTTCCCCTCCACCCTCCACCTTTTGGAAGGAACTTGAAAAATTTCAAAAAGTTACGAAAAATACCGCTATATCTTTATTCGGACGCTATACGAAGACGTGGTCCTGCATAAGAAATTTTTAGGCATAGGCTGTAGTACTCATTACGAACTTCAAATACCAAATTTGAAACAATTCCGGTAAATAATGTCGCTAAAATCATCAAAATACCGAATATCGGCAGGAACTGTTTTATGAGGGCTATACGTGAACCTACGCCGACAATTTTCTGTCTTAGGCTGTAATATCTATTACAAATTTCGAATACGAAATTGGAAACCATACGGGTGAATAGTGTCGCTAAAATTATCAAAATACCGAATAAAAGGAGATACCGTCATATGGGGGCTATACGAAGACGTGGACTTTCATAGGAAATTTTTAGGCATAGATTGAAGTTCCCATTACGAATTTCGAATACGAAATTTGAAACAATTCCGGTGAATAATGTCGCTAAAATCATCAAAATACCGAACATCGGGGGGTACCGTTATATGGGGACTATACCAAAACGTGGACCTGCATGGCCCATTTCCAATCCCAAAAATCCTGCAGACATAATATACATTTGAGTAAAATTTTATCAATCTACTTCATTTCTTTCGGAAGCTAGAGTGATTTCCACAGACGGGCATCGGTAAATCGACATAAAATGTTATTCTGATCAAGAATATATATACTCAATGTATATTTCGTGGTGTTACAAACGGAATGACAAACTTAATATACCCTCCATACTATGGTGGAGGCTAAAAATTCCCTTTATTTAATATTGGAAGTTGTAGAATCGCAATATTCTTACCAAAATTCATTCAAAACAAGTAAGCAAAGGCTATAGCCGTGCAGGGCCGATTATGTGATACCCTACAACACTACAATGCGTTCGAAGTACCCTTATATCCAAATCCATTTTGGAAGATTTCGTTTTTGAAATAATGTCAAAGAGCCCCACCCAGAGGTTACCCTTAGTTTTTTGACCCGGAGAATTTGCCCAATTTTTACGCACTCCGTAGCGTAGTTAAGTATTCAAAACAATTTCACACGAAAGTTGTGGTATATTTTACAGCTAAATATAATCCAATGGTCATCCAAAATGCTAAACTTCTTCCCTGTCCTTATCTCTCTTCTGATGCGAAATTCCGTGTCGATTAGTTTTCAATTGTGCCCTATAGAGCGACTACAAAATTAGAAAAACCCGCTAATTATTGTCCGATGGCCCAATTTGGTAGGTTTCTGACCACTCCTAAAATCTCCAAAAACAATAGGGTTCTATTCTGGTCATAACCACACCTCCATTTTCAATTTCGTGAAGATCGGGGCACAATTGCGACCTGTAGCTTGATTACAAATTAACATGACAAACGGACAGACGGACATACATAGCTAGATCAACTTAGCTCGGCGAGATAGGATAATAGGATGTGTGGGAAACCAATATTTCGAGGTGTTACATAATTGTTGTCCCAATCAAACTCATGATACCCCAACACATTGTGTTGTAGGGTACAATCAACCTAACCTCTCAAAAAAAAAAAAAAAAATTGTAGCACAGTGCAATATTTATCCACTTTGCAGTGCCACATAACCAAATCAATGTGGCTAATATATAACTTTCTCACCACAAAGGTCATACATAATAACACACATGCCAAGCCATACCAATAAAAAATATTGAAAAATTATACATCATAGACATAAAGCAAAGCGAATCAAATATCTATGTTACCAAATCCTCTTCTATATACATCTATAAAATATTCATCAATGAATTTGTGATTTCCTCTTATTTTATTTGGACCTTTGGTAGATCTTCTTTTGTTTTTCTTTTTTATTTGAACATAAAACATAACCGTTTTTTAAGCAGCATTATTGCAAAATTATGCTATTTTGTTATGTTTTTTTTTTTTAGCGAAAAAAAAAGAAAGTAATTATTAAAAAAATAAAATAAAAAAGGAAATCGAAATTGGAACATTAATGCATTCTTCGGCATAAAAACCACACCCCACCTACCTCACGTCTGCTCATCACTGGGCTTTGACACTTCAGCACACCACCACCACCCGGGGCATTGGCCTATCCACCGATAATTTATAATTGCCTAATAACATGACATACTTATCCACAATGGCTATCAATGTGATGGTGTGTGTGTGAGAGAGACTAACAGGTGTAGCTGTGAATGAGTGTGGGTATGTGTCTGTGCATGTGTAAATAATTATGAAATAATATAAATGTTAGTTGATAAATGACACAGCATTACATGTCTGCCTCTCTCTCTCTCTCTTTATGCGGGTATTAAATATTGTACAATTGTCAATAAGTAGTTAATGATGTGCTGTGATTGTTAGTTTACACTTGAAACAAATTAAAGATTTTTAATAGGGTAAGTGTGCCTAAGTTCGGCATGTCCCAGTAGTCGGCACTTTTTATTTTTAAGCCCAAATAAATGAAACTATTATAACTAAATGTATTTTGTTTACTTCAAATATATTGTCAGCTATCTTTGTGTACAATTTCGCTAAGAAAAGATGATTTATTCTAATAAAAATTAAATTTTTGTCTGTGAAGGTCTCAACAATCAATATTCTTAAGAAAAGTACAGTAAAGACGTCGAATCAGTTTAACTAAACAAAAATATTATATTTTAATGAATTAATTTTTATTATTATTTTTAATTATTCTTACAAAAAATTTGGTTGCCGACTATTGGAACATGCCATACCGCCAATTGGCTAGTGGTGCCGACTACTGGCAAAAAAGCATTGTTTTAATAAAACTACACATTTATGAAATTAATTAAAAAGTTATTAAAACTATATTTATTAATGCAAAAACTCTACAAAATTTCGAATCTGAATAAATTAACTTTGTAATAATTGAAAAGTTCCACTCAGAATGGTGAGCGATTAAAAACGCGAAAATTCTAAAAGTGCCGACTACTGGTACACTTACCCTATTTGTTAAATATTTGTTATGGGTGTTTAATACGGTAACAATGATTTGTGGAAATGTTGGGAAACACCAAACATTACAAAGGGAAAAAATTGAAAGAGCGTATTTCGTTGAATTTAATTCCACCCACTAATAAGGCTCAAGGTCTCTCTCGAAGGGATGCTCATTCTCAGGTTATTACAAAAAATGTATTCACCCATTGATCTGGCATGTTTGGTATGTGGAAATAATATTCACAAATCTTCAATGAAAAACAAGTAAGCAAAGGCTTTAGACGTGCGGGACCCAACATACGATACCCTACAACACTACAATATGTTCAAAGTCTGCTTATATTCAAATCCAATTTGGGAAGATTTCGTTTTTGAAATAATATCAAAGAGACCTGGCAAAATGTTTCCCTTAGGTTTTTGACCCGGAGAATTTGGCAAATATTTACGCACTCCGTCGTGTTGTTAGGTATTCAAAACAATTTCACAAGGAAGTTGTGGTCCATTTTAAAGTTAAACAAGTAAAAAAGCAGTAAGTTCGACCGGGCCGAACTTTGAATAACCTCCACCATTTGGTAAAAATTTGGCAATTTTCAAAAAAAAAAAAAAATCCGTTAAAAATTCTGTTAAAATCTTAAAAATACCGAAAGTAGCCGCATATTAGGGTCTATAAGACGACGTGCACACGCATAGGCAACTTTGGTCACAAGCTATTACAATGTTCAAATGCGACACTTAAAAAAATGTAGCTAAAATCATCAAAATACTGAATATAGGGAGGTACCATGGAGGTTATAAAAAGTGGACCTGCATAGAC